TCACAGGTATGGCACACCTCTCATTTTGGACTTTTTAAAATAACGCTTGTATCCAATTCACTTCATCTGAAACATATGGAGAATAACACAATGTGCCAGTAAGGAGAATACTGCACTTCTCCCTCTATAAAAAACAGATTTTATAATGTACCTTTTATTTTAGTTCCTTGGCGATTTTAGCAGAATCTCCTGATTCACATTACATGTTTTTGTCTTGGTCCAGGAGCGGGATGCAATTGGCTCTCTGGTCTCCTTCCACTACACTGTAGTGTATTTTCCTTCAGAGCTCCTGTCTATATTTCACTTGGTCTGGGGATTTATGTTCTTACATTAATTTATGACTGTGAGAAAAAAAATCAATAAAACTGCTTCAAGCTAGGATTAATGCATATGACAGTTTAGGCATTTTTTAAAGAAACATTTGCAATTAGTTCACATACTTAATTTTCTGTTTTAAATAAATTTTGATTTTTTCCCCCAAATCAGAGAATGTACAGTATATGAAGAATATTCTACATTATTCGAAAAGAAAGTCTTTAAATCAAGATGTTCAGTCTTATTCTTCAGTTTCATAACAACACTATAAAAACTGTAACATGCATATGTATTGAATATGTGCATACAGTATATAGAAAAATCAATGTAGCCATAGTTGGAGATACAAAAGGATACTGCATTAAATACTGATCCAATTTCAGGAATATCATCACAACAGATTAAGTCCTTTGATCAGATTTATTTCATAATAAATATATGAAAGTGTGTATTTAATTTACCCTTTAGAACACTAAATCAATACAAATACTATCACCATAATCACCAAATTCCACACTGACCCGGCCCATTCCATTCATTCAGGTTGCTCTTCACAAATCCCTGAAGCCCATTTAAGGAATTACAAGGTGGGACCCTGGATGGGACACCAACCCATAATTCTGGGCTAAGGGTATACAATTATAATAGAAATAGACTGATATTTTGTGATATGGTAAAATTATCTAATACACATTAACAGTATTACTTGAGATTAAATTACTATGCAAGGGCATTGTTTCAAAAGGAGACTTTACACTCATTAGCTAGTGCCCTTTACTAATGAAGTGTAGACAATTACTCTTTTAAAATTAACTTGAATAAGAAAAAGTCGCCTCTACGGTGTACAGTATATACAGTATATAGTGTATATATACTGTTGTTGCATAATTACCATCAGAAGAAACTTATCACTATTATAATTCATAGATGTTTTCAAAAAGTAATGTATGAAGAATTTGGAGATTGATTTACTTTTTTTGTCTTCACTGTGATAAATTGATCATTCGTAACTGACCGCAATACACTCAAGTGAATTTGATTCATTAGAGAGGGAGCTGATAGGGCACAAGTCAGACTTGTGAGACTTAACTTGTTCAACCAAGGAACCAATAAGCCAAACATATTTAGAGAACAATGCCTTCATGCATAAGTTGGAATGAAACCTCAGGTGGATTCTCCAGCAGTAGGGCCAAATGCAATTTAGGGATGAATCAAGGTCTTTAGTAGACCACCCTGATGGACATCGATGAGTGACACTTAGATGTGCAGAATGACACACTGCATTTGTGACAAGAGCTGGAAGGCTCAGACAACACTGAACAGCTACAGTACATGCTTATCAAAGCTTTACAAGAGGAAAGGGACAGATTTCCACAGGATAGAATCATCAGACTGGTGTAGACCTATTGCAATAAAATTGCAATAATTTGTGTTTACGCAATAGTTTCCACTGCTGTATCTATAGCATTTTCTAGCTATATATTTTCACATTATAACTCACATTATTAACCAGATCGTCTTTTGATCCACTATAAATGATCCAGCAAAATACATTTGTAATATACTGTAGAACCACTGTAGTTTGAGTGATATTATTTCAGGTTTTGGGAATCAATAGATATTTTTAGGCCTAAGGTTTTAGCTGTATATGTACAGTATACTTCAGTTCAGTAACAGAAAAGGGCAGTTTAATGAGATTTGCTTTCCTGCTGCTCTTGCTATATTTAATGATACTTTTTATGTTCTTTGAAGTGATGTTTTGAGTATTAGTCACATTCTTGCAGGGTATGGAATAATAATCTGCTGCCTGACATTTGAAGTCTGCCTTCAGCTCAGAATGGTCCACTTTTCCTTTGTCAGGTCAAGTTAATATCACGTGCAAATGATGGGCATTATTTATAACACAGGTCCTGCACGTGAAAGAGTTGTAGCAATTGATCTATTGAAAATATTTGTACTTATTTTGTAAAAGATATATGTTGGACCTTAAATATTTTGACCATACTTAATGGGGACAAAGTCCCCAAATAATTTAATTCCATTAACCATAAACATGGTAATTCTCTGGAACAAAACCAATAATTGTCACTGTATCCATGCAAACAAGTCTAAAATATATCTATTTTTGCTTCACATTTGATAATATACAATTGTTGAAATTCAGTATAGACAGGTATTTCAATCTAAAAGGTGTCTTATAGTTAGAAATGATAAAATGTATATTCATTATATACTTGATTGATTTAAAAAGCAATTTTTTTGCAGTTCATTTGTAGGACAGACTTTTGCATAGCAAGCTTTGGGAGATGCTAGAGCACTTTGGGTCCTAATGGTTTTGAGCAGTTGTCTTATAGTCCATAATAACTTCTCCTTCTAGTGGAATTGAGTGATTTGTATTTGTTTTGTCTTGTTTTTCTGTAAATCATAATTGATCCATTTTGTTCTTTGCTAATTTGTATATGGCAGGGTGCATGTACTATATTTGTAGCATGCTATGTGCAGTACAAAATACCCTACAGAACAGAATACTTATAGGGTTGAATGTTCCTTGATTACTTAATAGGCTAAAGGGTTTGTGCTGAAGTACAAGGAATTCTGCTTCTTTATCAATCAACTAAATAGATAGGAACTCAAGTGGAATAACAATCTGCAGAAAATGCAACTCTTCAGAAGTTGAGTACCCTTGCAGTATAACTTTAAAGTCCAAGTGCAAATATCAAAATAAATAAAAAATGTTGCTTGTAGATAACATCACACTGGAATGACCAGAACATGTTGTCATGTCATACAGTATTTGAGCAACGATTATTGGACTTTTAAAATATAGTTTATTGGCTTTGCCATATGTATAACATCCACAGAAATCAGTTTTATAACACAAGCTTAAAATGCAGCATTTTGACATTCAGTGAAGATGTTTTGTGACATTTGTGCAAATGTGTGCAGAGGTGTTGAATTTTATGAAAGCCCTTCTTAATTTCCTGAGATTAATGCTTGCTGCTTCCAAAGTAGGTGTCAATACAAAAAAGACTATAAGCATGATGCATTTATTTTCTCTTACAATAAAACCACAGTAATTATGGGTCATTTGCCTAGCTTCTTTAGTAATTAAGAGTTTTAATTGCTTCTAGTTCAAGGGAATTAGTTAAGCCTTTCCATTGTGCATATTACCTTCCGTAATCATCATCTGCTCTCATACAACAAGCTTAGTGACATCACGGAAGTCAATTAGGTCTTTCATGGCAGGCTAGTCAAATACATTTCTTTGTGCTGTCTGGATATAAAAGGTTTCTGAAAAGCTCTGATAATGCCATTTTGTGAAGCTTTAAAGCTACTTTTTTTTTTCCTTTTTAAAGGCAAAGCATATCTGAGATGTGCTTGTGCAGCTTTGAAATCTCATTGAGGGCCTTAGAGGCCTTGGATTTATGCCATAAACGAGGTATATTGTTAACAACAAAACCCCAAGGCAAAGCCTTTCTTGTTTTTGACATCAATTGTTCCAAACATAACAGTGTCAGAAGCGCTGTGGTTTCTAAACTTCTTGACAGGATATTGTTTCCTCATAGAGAGTCCAAAAGAAACTCTAATGAAGATTTCAGGATGTACAGTAGAAAGAGGTTTAAGGCAAAAGAGAACCTTGGACATGGTCCACCTACAACCCCTTACTGAAACTAATTATTTCAGTTTTTACTTGTAAATGAAACCAACACAGTAGAGGAGCTTTGTTTTTTCATTCCGTTATAAGAAATCTTCATGGGATGGCTACATGCAATCTTGTATTTATAAATTGATATTATTCATGTTAATTGTTTGTTAAGATGTAGCAGTATTTTAACTGAGCTTCTGTCTAAGAACACTAACATTAGCAGCTTTTTATATCTGTGAAATGCCATAATGGATAAAAACAGATAAAACTATGCTGATGCTGTTCATGGGTTTTGAAGGATTTGCAGTAATATCCAATGAGAAAGCTACTGAAACTTAAGAGTAAAATAACTGTTAACTCTTATAGTTAATAGTCTTTAGGTGTTTTAATCAGCAACAAACTGTAGGTCCTCTCCTGATTATTACAGTTTTAATTTGTTTGCACCCCTTATTCTATATCTTCATCGTCCTAAACTATGGCATCAAACTCGGCCTCCGTATTGGTTTTGTTGAAAGACTTCTTTCTCTTGACAGTTCATTGACTAAACTCAATAACCAGTACTGCAAATGGATTTTACACCACTCAGTATCCCACCAACATGGAACTGTGCAGACCTCTAAACCGCGTGCATGAGTTGTTTGTGTAGCTGAAGGGAGACATCAAGTACTCATTCTACAAAGTTTATTCAAACTACATTTAAGTTGTGATGCCAAATATTACCAAATATTTTATGAAACAAAGCATTTATTTTCCATCTGTAGAGAGGACACCAAGCACTTATTTTACTTACAATCAATGGGCAGATTTATTTTTCATATACAATTGATTGTCATGACCTTGAACAGACAGCCAGAAACATCTTTGGAAAACTGCGTAACTAAAAAAACCATGAAATATTCAGAGTAATTTGAACATTTGTTCTCATTTGAACATATTTAAATCTATCTATTGGTTAATGTCCTTTTATCTATAGACTTAAACAAACAGTCTATGCTTTGCTTTCTAATAAATGTTGAACATGTGCTTTCCTTTAATACAGTGCCTGGTGTTTGAAGATGCTCCAAATGGTGTCCTTGCGGGTCTGTCTGCAGGAATGCAGGTTGTGATGATCCCTGATGAAAATCTCAACCCAGATCTGACAAAAGAAGCTACCTTAATCCTGAAGACAATGGAGGACTTTAAACCAGAACTGTTTGGTCTTCCACCTTACAACTGAGCTAACATGTTTCCAGCTAAATATTCACATATCACTCCAAACCTGCATACAACCCAGATGTTAATTATTCTTATGATACTCATATTTTGTGTGTAAATACATAATGAACATCCTTTCATTGGATTCACATTGATTTATCAGATGAATAAAGGGTTTTAATACTAATAGTTGTGGCAGATCTAGTGCTTTGCATTTCTTTGTATTTGATGTAGAATATATACTGCTCAAGTTTTGATATTTGTATGCTTTTCATGCTTTAGGAATTCCATACATTCAATTTCTGATTGCTCCAATGTATGATGAAGAGTTTTACTGGCCTCCTTGCAAAAGGAGGTTAGCGGTTAATTTAACATTTCAGACCACTAAATCCCAGCAGAATTAATAACATTTTAAAAAGGGTTCTGTTTGTTTGCACACAATCAATTCTGTATTGTGTCTGACATGAGACAATGACAATAAGTGACTTAAACACTCCACTAATCAACCTTAAACCTTCCAAAATCCTTAAACATTCCACTAATCAAATGTGGAACACAGTGTAGATCCTAAAACATATTTGATGTTGACAAGCTTTGTCATTGACCTGGTTAAGCTGACTTCGGTGGTATAACTAAGGATGGAGAATTTCATCCTGGTACTTATCAGAATACTCTCATAGATGAGATTCTTTCTTTTGAAGTTCTTTTTTTCCATTTCATTTAATTGTAGTTGGGTTTGTTGTCCATGAAACTTGGATGTTTGAGATTCAGACCTTTGCTCACTTTGCTAATGAGTCTGTGATGTGTATGTACTTTGAAAACACTCACTATTCAAGCTTCAACTTTTAAATAGAGACTATTTAAAAAGCTAAAGCTCTGATTGTTATTGAATAGGTTGAAGAATATACATTGTGGATTCTAAATTCCATGCATTCTTCATTCAAGTACTGTAGCTGTTTGTCCAAATTTTATTTGGGGCATAAAAAGCTTCGCCCTCTCTAAACGTAGCTGATCAAAAACTAGGAGGTGCAGGATTCACCAGGATGGAGTTGATAGTTTCTGATCTTAAAGCCTTTTTGAGCACGTCATCAATCCACTTGAAAGCATCAGCACATCACTGTCCTGGAGCCATTCATTACACTGAGCGGAGAATCGTCCAGTGTGTCTGTCCTGTCTTTGTCTTGTCTTTTTGTTCTGTAGGAACATGTTACAGAGCTTTCTTGTAATTGAGCTACTACTGCATGTTGGGAAGGCCATAAACCATACTAAGAAGTCCCCCCCCACACCTTCAATGGAGTGGAGGCAATTTGTTTTGCACCAATCTTGATGGTCTTGTTGAGCATTCTTCATTTCCAATTAAAAAGTAGTACAGTGCCAAATTATTTCCATGAACCCTGGTGACTTTCTCATTATTTCAATGTGTATTAATGTTTTTTATAGCATACATAAAATGCACAGAACGTGTTTGTTCTCATTTTGTTTACCCACAAAACCTGTACCTTTTGCAACCTGATTTGTGACTCAGTGAAAGAAAGAAAAATTGTGTCCTGTTGTTTTTTACCCTCACTTTACACATTTACCCTCACATTTTATCATTTATTATATTCACCTACAGTTATGGTGTTAGCTTGAAAATAAGAACATCATGATGTGATGTGGAAAGTATCAGGGGAATATTCACAAGATGTTCTCTCTTGACACAGAATGGATTATTTCCCATGAGTTTTCCTTTGCAGATTTTGCACCTCCTTTCGTCTTGAAATGAGTGTAATCAAATTCTCCATCCTTTTCATTCATTTACATCACTCTGTCTATTAGAAGTAATTTTCTGGTAGAAGGTTATGAGGCTCCTTTCAGCTCAGAAATAATAAAAAGGTACTTTGATTCTTATTTTATATCTTTATTTTAAGGAGTGTAGAAGTCTGTGAAAGCTCCATTCCTGGTACTTCTGAGGTTCAGAAATGTGAGAAAAGCACTAAAGCGTTAGTTATGATATGTCCCTGAAAAAGAAAAAGGACAGATAATTATTTTTCTTTGCTTTAAGCTGAAAACTTCCTTTAATTCTTCCCTCAGCAATGTGAGAACACAGCAATTTGAGCATGTCAATGAGTAAATCCCTGCACTGACAGCAAAGAGAGTGTTAGTCTTATCATTCACACTGGGGATTCATACATACGCTCAATGTAAAGAAATGTGATTAATGAATACCTTATAATACTATCTTTTTCAGAGATTTAGCCTTTAATGAAGTATGATTAAACGGAACAGTGACTTTAATATGATGTTTTTTTGTGTGTACCAATTTTGTGTGGTTTTGATGCTATAATATACCTGAAATAACATTTCTTCATTTTTTTTTCATTTATGTTCTGTGCAGATGCATTATAAAGAGCTGAGATCTCAATGAGGACAAGAGTAAATTGCTGGGTCTACATTTTTTTACAACATATCTGTAAATATATGTTGAGTTAACTCACAGCAGTCTAAAAGACTGAAGCAAAATATTTTTGTATTTTATCATATGCAGTATGTCTTTGAAAAACCTTGCTGATGTGTGAACTGCATCCAATTTAAAATCCTGTTTACAGTTTTGTTTTAACAATTGCTTCAATGCGTTTTTCAAATGATAATACCAATTTGATGATTAAGACAGTATATCATGTTTATGTTCAAAACTCAGAAATGTTCATTATTAATTCTTTAAATGCTGTTGTCTTAGTATTTCAGTTATAATTTCTATTCATACTAAATGTTCATTATTTTATCCTCTTGTAATAATTGCGGCTCATTACTGCACATGGGCTCAATACATGTGAGAGGCCAAGAAAAAATGAATTGATAGTCACTATATTTCTGACAGACTGTGTGGAAACAGTGGCCGATTTGCTTCATGGATGACACATGAAGTTGCTGGATATGGATGTGGTTGTGGTCGAGGTCAACAACAAATATACGCCATTATCCTGAATGAAATCAGAGCAACTGTAATCGACCATGTTATTAATAGAGCTCTGACAATGAGCTGTACAACTAAATCTGAAGAGGTCAGAACAAGCCTCAGTTCCTAGAACATTTTGGGCCAAGGATCGGTAACACAATACTGAGCTTCTACACGTTCTATTGCATACAGTACATTTCTGAAATAATGTTTATATTGCTGTAGTGATGGTGTGAAATTACTGTATTTTATTGATGAATGTTGAAAGTGTTTAATGGCCAGTGGATAGATTTTGCTGGCTGAGAGGGATATTTGTCTAAAGATTATTAGACACTACTGCATTTTAATCAAGAGGTTATGCCATCAGTACAACCACAACTGGACCCGTTTTGAAAAGAGACAGTTAAGCCATGTTGCACAGCCTAATGGGAGGGTGACCATAGAACCCCATCGTTTTTCAGAGAAGGATAGAATTTTTCATACTACTGTCGACCACCTCTATTTTGATTCAGTGAGCTTCAGTCAGGGCAAAAGATGGCACTGTGGCTGGAATCATTTTGGCCAGCATATGGTGGGACAACATGGAGAAAGTAGCACGAAATGTGCTGCCATACATAAAATGGACTATAGTGTGAAGCCTAGAGCATTACTTTTCTGCCTATCTGCTGCTTTTTCTGGACATGCTACGCAATTACTTTCTGCATTTAAATGCTGGGATTACTGTTTTAGTTCATGCTATTTTATTTGGTGTTGGATTACCCATATGTTCTGTTCTTATTTTCACTTTTTAAATTAATTTAGTTTTACCCTACAAGACCTTTGCAATTGGTTGCTTATATATTAATTAAATGTCTTTTTATGTTCTAAGTTATCTGCACAACATCTTATAAAATGAATAATAATTATGTAGGAAAATAAAATCTGAAAGGACATCACTGATAAGAAGGGAGATGGCTAGCAGATAATTCACTAAACAAATTAGTATTGCACCCTGATGTGAAATATCAATTTAGAAACTTTAGAAACGTACTCTTAAGCAAAACATACGTATGTTACTGAATTTTCTCTTACTCTAGGATGTATTTGTACAGGATATTTGTATTGGCATAATTAGAAAGCATAGCAGATAGGATTCTGAGAGAAAACCAAACCCTGTTGAATACAAAAGAAAGGAAAACTGTCAAGCCCAAAACTTGGGGAAATGGGGAAAATGCAGGTGATATAAACTACTGTACGCCTTTGAAGCCTGACATTTTTGCATTACTACATTTAACTGACAATCGCAGTCATCAAAGTTGAGAAACTTTGAACCAGAATTAGCATAATTCCATGTTCCCTTTGGAAGCTTTGAAGACTTGACCTCTGTAGGTCTGCACAGCTACTGGCTGCTTATGACCCAACATTGATCATAGAAAATATTAAGTCTAATTCCATACCATCAAAATCATGACTTCAGGGTACTGTTTGCTGAGCATTGCTTCATACTGCTTTTTCCATGGTTTCTTTGAAGGCAGGAAAGAGGCAAACATGAAGAAAAAAAATGGGTTTTTAATGAGAATGTGGACGAGGTGTATATGGGCAACTGTAGCATTGAATTCTTCAATCTCATATGCTTCTGACAGTAGACTAAGTTTCAAATGGGTTGTATTAAGAAATCATGTTAGATTGTGTCCTAGATTTTGTTAAGGTTGTATTAGGACAATTGTTACAGGAAGCATTGGTGTTAAGGTTTTATTTGGATTGCTCAAGAGCAACACTTGGGTGATTTGACTATAGGACTCAAATGACATTTAAGGTGAGGGTAACATTTTGAGTTTATTTTGGGTTAGGTTTGAGTTTGGGGTAGCACCCATTACATTTAGACATTACATTCAGTTAATGTTATGGCTTCATTTTATCTGCAGTTAAGAGTGTTTCAGAGGCAGATTACTCTTAGTTTCAAATGTTTTAATCACTGATAGATACGGAGTAAGAAGAGGTAATAAAGGGTAAAGGCCAGGTTTGGTTCAGGCTTCAGGTTTGAGTTCTGTTAGGTATGGGTCACAGTTTGAGAAAATATGGTACATGTAAAAAGTGACAAAGTAGTTTCAGGATAGTGTTTTTGTGTTAATCCATCTGGCTGAGGAAATGACAGCACTGGCCAAAAGCAAACTTTGTCACATCCCCCCTCGGTTACAAGGAATGACCAAGGGAGGCAGTTGCAGAGGTGAAATAGGGGTGGAGGAAAGGATGCTAAAATGTTTTCCGCA